ATTTATGCAGATTTTGATGAACTCTTAGAGTAAGGAATAAATAAAGATCCGATTGGTATTAGAGTTTAGAATAGAAGAAATGGGGCATACTGAGTTAGGATCCATGATATATTACTGGGATGATATAAAATTTTAACCTCTCTTTCCTTGAATTTATTTCCTTTATTCTCCTTGAGTGATAATAGTAGACAATTAGATAGGAAGAACCATGGTAAGTTCATAAAGAGTCAGTAATTCTTGCTTGAAAGACTGATTAGCAGATAAGTGTGTTTTGAGTTCATTACGCTGTGTCATTATACGAGAAATTTGTTTGTTTGTTTTGTTTTTATAAAACTTGTTGCTTTATTTCTGGTACCAGTGGTTTGCTATTGGGTTATGAGAGTTATGATCATCAATTCTCAGTATTCATTGCAGCATGCATTTTTTTATATTTTTTACTTGATCTTACCCTTTTTCAACTTTTGCTTCTTTTTTAAAATTAAGTTGTTTTTATTGTGAAAATACTGTACAAAGGCATTACAGATACATGAGCAAGGTAATGAGTACATTTCTTATCCAGCATCGTTTCCTCCTCCTTTATTTTTCCCCTGCCATCATTAATTATTGTTTATGAAAATGTAAACCTGCAATTGAGGAGACTGAGAGCTTAGGCAGAAAAGTCAGCCAGATTTCATCTCCAAAAACATGTGAAAGCATTAAGTGTGGGCTGGAGGTGTAGCTTAAGTGGTAAAATGCCAGCAGAGCAAGCAAGTCAAGTGAGTGTAGAGTTCAAACTCTAGTACCACAAAAAAGCAAAGCAAAACAAAACAAAAGCCTTGCTGTTTCATAGCTGGCCAATCATTGGGTTTTATTTAACTTTATTGGAACTCTTTTTCTGAGTCCTTAAATAGAAGATAATTATTTCACTAGAATAATGCGATCTTATGAAATATGTGCCTCGGTATTTGGGATATAGTAAGTACATAATGTAATCAAATTTTATGATTTTCTCCCCTCAATAAATGTACCTGGATTAACACTCCATATTATGTTATGAGAAGCATCATAAGAAATAATTCATTGGAATACACTACATATAGGATAGGAAAAGATTGCCAATTATATAGACATGCTTATTTAATTTGATTAGGTTATATTTTTTCTCATATAATGACTTGTGGTGAACAAATAGAATTACCCCTATTTTATAGCTGTGAAAATAGAGGCTTGGAGAAGGTGAGGAGCATAATCAAATTTAAAGCTAATAAGTAGTCAAGTTATCATAAGGACATCTATTAAAGAAAGACAAGGTTTTTTCTCAATTACTATCTTTTGGAATAATATTTTAGTGGTAGTAATGCAAAAAGTAAGAACAATTATACATGTGCAGTGGTCAAACATAATAAAGGATTGGGGTTGATTGAATGTTGAGAGGAGAAAAGTTGGAGCTATACTTAGGATAAAAAACAAGGAGCCAGGTCTCTGGCTTTGACTAAAGCTTCAGTCATTAAGTGCAGAATTTTTCTTTGTCAAAAAGACCAAATACACTTTGTTTCTGTATTAGCACCAGGAGAGACTGAGGAATAAAGGCAACTGGATAGGAGACGGACTTGTTTTCTCCTATACTTCCAAATTTTTCCTCCTAATGATAAAAATAATGTAACTATGTACCTTCAAAATTCCTTTATATGAAAGCCTTTTAGGAGGTGGCATATAAAATTGATTTATAAGAGGATAAACAATATTCATAAAAATAAAAAAAAATATTCATTGTGAAAATCTAACTCTATGGCCTTGAGCCTTTTGGGACTTTTTTTTTGGGGGGGGGTCCGGTTGTTGGGCATGAACTCTGAGCCTGGGCACTGTCCCTCAGCTCTTCAGCTCAAGGCTAGCACTCTACCACTTGAGTCACAGTGCCACTTCTGGCTTTTTTCTTTTTGCTTATGTGGTGCTGAGGAATCAAACCCAGGGCTTCATGCATGCAAGGCAAGCGCTCTACCACTGAGCCACCTTCCAGGACCTTTTGGGACTTTTTAAAAACTTAAATTTTATTTTTTATTTTTTTATTGTAAAAATAGTGTACAGAGGAATTACTGTAACATGAGTAGGTAATGAATACATTTTCTACCAAGCATTACCTCCTCCTTTGTTTATCCCCTACTATCCCTTCCCCCACCTCCCCAACTTCTCCCTCCCCTGCCCAAGTTGTAAAGTTCTTTTCAATATAGTGTTTTGTTACAATAGGTCAACCTGTATCCTTATTTAAGCATTTTGTTATTTCCCTCCCTTCCAAAATTAGGAAAATGTATATACAACTGTTTTTTCTTGCTTGCTGTTGTTTTTAACATATTTAAAATGTACTATGTGATTTTTATTTGCTTCTTTTATATGTGCTTCCCCCAAGGTATAACCCCTGTTTTCACTAGATTTGTTGTCAGTGCCCTGCATCCTGGGACTTTTTTGTAAACATAGACTTATCCTGATGTCTGCATGAAAATGAAACTAAGACATGATGATCTTGAGGTTACAGAGAAATTTGAAAACTGAAATGAATTTGTATAGGAGATCAGCCACTTTGCAAACGTTCAATCTCCTGATCTTTCTTTGTTACAGACTCAAAATTGAACCAAAATGCATGTTAGCGTTTGAACATAAAAACGCACCATTAGTAGAAGTTACTAAGGATTGATGGGGGGGGGTGTGGTGGTCATTTTTTTTTTTTTTATTGAGTGAATAGCTCAGAGAAAAGGATGAGATCCACCATGCCACTATTCAGGAGATATTTAACTTTTTGTACTTTCAGAACAAATAAAATATTGTGTCCTACCTGACCACATTAATGAAAACTATCATTAAATCACTAATAAATAAGTTATTTCTCTTTAAAAACTGTGAAGTACTTATAAGAGGAGGAGTACATGGGTCCTAAAGTTTCTGAATGGATGCAAATAAAATAGACAAAATACCTTGATCTGCCATATTCCACACAGGCAACATAGCTTAGATTTTGCAAAATGAAAAATGAATAATCAGTGTCTAGATGGGGCACTGGAGGCTCATGCCTGTACTTTTAGCTCCTTGGAAAGTAAAGGTCAGAAGGAACATGATTCAAAACAGTCCAGGGTAAAAAGCTCACAGGAACCCATGTCAACTAATAGCCAGGTGCAGTGGTTGGTGTTTGTCATCTCAGCTATGGGAGGGGCTGAGATTTGGAGTAGGGTGGGAGGAGTTGTTTCAGACCAGCTTGGAAGAGAGTGGGTGCAACAAGAGCTTATCTAAAAAAAGTAATCAGAAAAAAAAAGTCTGGAAAAGTGACTCAAGGAGTAGAGTACCTGCTTAGCAAGTATGAAGCACCAAATTTAAACCCCAGAAGGTTAAAAACAAACAAAGAAACAAAAAAACAACAAAAAACTGAATGTCTAAAGTAGGTGCTTTTTCTGAAGAGTAGTGGTCATCTAGTGCTTGTCAAGATATTAGGAGATAAAAAAATGGAATTATGTTTTAAGGGCTTCTGTTCCTTAAAGGATTTTTTTTCTTGCTTTTTTTTCACACTGTGAGCCAGCACTCAAATATTTGTGGAAGCTCTGATAAGTCTCAGCATCTATACTTAAAATGCTAAGACCTGTCATAGAGAGCTGAGGGGCAGAGGGAAGCAGATTAACATTAAGACTGGCATTTCTTTTCTTAAGCTAAGCATTAGTGGCTACATCCACCTGTGTAGCTGTCATGTTGAAATACAAGAAACAGAAAATAAGGTAAGGAATATAGAAAAGAGGAAACAAAAAACAAAGCAGGATTTAAATGTGGGTGATTTCATTTGAAAATATGTTTTACAGAATCAGTTATAAACACAGATCCATTGATTGAATAAAGAAAGCAAGTTCGTACTTCTCTGCTCAGCAGCAAGACACTCAGTGACTTTTATTCTCTTTCTTGAGCAGATTCAATGAATATTTTATATTGTTGGAGGTATTTTTTTAGCTTTTGGGGTCGTATGCAAGTCACTTTCGACTACTGTTAAGTGTCTACACTGTGTATTCATGGCATGGTCTCTCATATGACTTGAATCACTTCTCTATACCTCCTTCCCCCTTCCCTGCCTGTCTCCTGGCTTCTGTCCCCTTTGTCTCCTTCAGAGGATTGTGCAGGGCTACAGGATCTACTTTACCTCAGGCTCAAACAGCAAGGACATGTAGCAGAGTTTATGTCCCCCCAGGGGACCCCATAGCCCATATCTTACTGGTTCAAAGCAGAAACACCTAGATTCATCTTACTTTAATTATATCCTTCTAATGTAACTTACACTTCAAGATCACCATGGGATCAGGCTGAGCTTTGGTTGTTTGAAATAGCTCCTTGACTGCCTGCTTCCTTTTCTTGCATGGCTGTCTCCACTCCCTTAAGAATTTCTCCTGGAACATGTCCTTCAAACATCGCTCTTCACACACCTAGCTTCATCCCAGAACATTGCTGGCTAGGGAGTGCAGAGCAAGACAATCTATACCACAAATGCACACACAGACACACACACACACATATACACACACACACACTACAAATATTTATTAAATAAATGTCTGTATGTGTAAATGACTAGAACTGATCATACATAACTATCGGGGTACAGTAGAATGCTAGATTATATAGTAGTTAAAAAATTTAAGAATAAGGTAAAGAAAAAATATTGTGGCTATTTAAGGAGATAAATAAATGTAAGCTTTTTCTGTAAAAACAAAGGGTTATTAGACTTTCTAAACAAATTGCTTTAAAAAAAGCAAATCCAAATAATAGTGTTTCTCTTCAGTTATATGTGACCTCCTACTAAAACTTTCTGTAGTCAATAGATTAGGCAGATATCTTTCTTTATCATGCCAAATGGGGTAGAACACATAGGGAAAGCAGGAATATGATTTATGCAAAGGACTTTGTTTTTATTAGTATGATGTATTATGGACATCGTTTTGTTTCCACAATGTATTTAATTGCTCTGTGGAACAGTGATATTATTCTTATTTTTGTAGACACTAAAACGTCTTCATCAGTCTCTTCTATGAGTCATCCCCTTTCTAGTGAGAGTGAAGACGAATCTGCCGAACATGATCAAGAAACCCACACTACCAACGAAAGAGGCTACGAAAGTTCCGATGAAGTTGAAAGTTCATGTTCTCCAGAGCTGAGTGAAAATGATGAGCCAGGAAAACTCTACCGTCCAATGATGAAAAACTTCTTGGAAAATGAAGTCAAAGACCAAAAAATAATAAAAACAAATGTGAAGACCCAGCCTTTGTCAGCAGATGAAAGCTATAAAAATGGTCTTGGAGAAGAAATGGAGAAAACAGCCCAAGGGATTACAGAGAATTTATCTATGAAGTCCGGGAAACTAGCTTCTGCAAAACAAAAGGAAAAGATTATGAGTAAGGTTTGGGAAGCAACCACTGCTAAGGTGGACAGAAAGGCAGGTCACCCTGAGGTGGACGAAGGTGGTGAGTATAGCCACTGAGCTGACTTGCCATTGTCCTATGCATGGAAGCTGGTGTGGGTTATCGTGTCCTGCCAAAGCTCAGGAAGCACTTGTGATAATGCTACAGAGATTCCATGTTTCCCTCCTCTCACATAATCATATATGTATTTTCATCTTGTTTTCCTTTTATTCCATTTTTAAAAATCACTTGATAATTCTTATAGCCTGTTTCCTATTTCCTGTAATTTCCTTCTTATGGTAATTCTATCTCATGAGTCAAATAAAACATGCTACATGTCTGAAGGCAAGGATATGTGTGGCTTTATAGAGGTTAATGTTATATTAGTTCTTAGTTACATATCCTTAGCTTACATTGGTGGGCGCTCGCTGGTTTCCACGCATGTGCATGGTTCTAAAAACACAGTAACTCATTGCATCTCACAACAGCTTCATTTCTCCATGAATTAGGTCCCATTGTCACATCTTCTTTTTAATATGAACAATCTGTGCCTTAAAGAGGTTAAGTAAGTTGCTGAGGTTCATACAGCTATTGAAAGGCCTTCCCAGAATGTAAATCCAAGTAGAACGCCTCCAGACTATCTAGATTTTCTATTACATCAGTGTATTTGGAATTTAGATTTAGAGTTAAAAAGGAAGGAAGGAAGGAAGGAAGGAAGGAAGGAAGGAAGGAAGGAAGGAAGGAAGGAAGGAGGGAAGGAAGGAAGGAAGGCGGAGGGAGGGAGGACGGAGGGAAGGAAGGAAGGAAGGCAGAGGGAGGGAGGAAGGGAGGGAGGAAAGAAGGGAGGAAAACTACCTAAGAAATGTTATTCTTCACTTTTCTTTTGTGAAATGGACTAGTTTGTTCCTGATCCCTGGGGTTCCCTGGTTTGCAGGATGATCTCATTTAACAGGGGGAAACCTAAGGGGGATTTAAGTGCCATGAGGTCACAAGGCCTTAGACATATTTAAGCCCTGCTGCTTTTCTTGCTGTGGGAGGACAGTGAAAGGATGGAGTTTTATCTTGTGGCCCACTGGGTAGTGACTGCCAGACACCTGGGGCTGTCTGATCACCCACGCCTTATCGTGTATCTCAAGGCATACCCTGCTTGCTCTCACCTCTCTTCTGCCAATGCAATGGCCATTCTTCTGGATTATAAGATAAAATTGGCTTCATATTTTAATATGATGGAAATCTGTGTTCCCAAATGGCCCTTAAAAGCTATTTTAGGACCTTAAAAAGAAAGTTTGGCACTCCAATAACTGAGACAAGGTCAAAAGTTACATGTAAAATATTATGGATATTAAATATCTTAGGTAATAAAATAATAAAGTACAATTATTAAAGTGAGAAGAGAAAAAATGTAAATAGTCAACAATAATAAGATGGTTAGGTTAAGAGAACATACAGGCATAATATATAGACATTAAACATGTTCATAAACATGTAGCATGTGCCACAGTAAGTTGGAAAAATGGTTATAGTATAACATTAAGATAAACATCTTTTTAAGATCTACACAGGGCTTTGTAGGCCATTTAAAAATGTAAAAATAAGCAGGTGCTGGTAGCTCACACCTGCAATACTAGCTACTCAGGAGGCTGAGATTCAAGGATAGAGGTTCAAAGTCAGCCTGAGTAGAAAGTCCATGAGACTTTTATTTCTAATTAACCATCAAAAGGCAGAAATTGAGCTGTGGCTCAAGTGATACAGCCATGGCCTTGACCATGGACACAAGGACAGTGCCTGGGCCTTGAGTTCAAGCCCAGTATCAACATACACACACATATTAATAATAAACTAAAATAAAAAACAGCCTCCTGAAAGGAGGCTGATATCTAGGATTATGGTTTGAAGCAGGCCTAGGCAAGAAAGTCTATAAGACTCTCATCTCTAATTAACCATCAAAAGAATACCAAAGGTGGAGCTGTGATTCAACTGGTAGAATACCAATTTTGAGCCATAAAGTTAAAGCAAGTACCTGTGCCCTGAGTTCAAGCCCTAATAACACACTGAAAGCAAAGATATGTGTGGTTTTATAGAGGTTAATGCTATTTCAGTTCCTAATTATACATCCATAGCTCACATTGATGGGCACTCACTATTTTCAAGGCATGGTTCTAAAAGCACATTAACTCATTGCATCTCACAACAGCTTCATTTCCCCATGAATTAAGTCCAATTGCCATCATCTCCTCTTTAATATGAACAATCTGTGCCTTAGAGAGGTTCAGAGAAGAGAGGGGGGAGAGGGGAAAGAGAGGGAAAGAGATAGAAAAAGCAAGAGAGAGAGAAAAATAGAACTAGAGCTAGGGCCAGAGAGCAAGAGTGAGAGAGCAAGAGAAACAGCAAGACAAAGAGGGATAGAAGGAGGGAGAGAGTAGGGAGGCAGAAAGAGGGGGAAAAGACAAAGACAGTGAGAGAAAGACATGGTCAAAGGGGCATAGTGGTAGGCCATGTGGAGGGATTTGTTCTAGATGGGAATCTTTCCACTGGAACGGTTTGAGCTGACTGGATTTGAAAGTCATGAAAAAGATTGCTCTGACTACTGACGGAATTTGTCTTTGAACAGCTGTGGTCTTGAGATTATAATTAATCCTGTTTTTTTTTGTGGGTCATGTTTCAATGTCAAAGGTAACACAGGAGCGTCTTTACTCTGTAGGTAGATGATGATGTGAATTTTGTTCTGGAAAGACAGTGGGTTGGCTAAACAAAGAATGATTAAATACAGGGAAACTTTTCAAGGTGACCTGGAACTTAGAAGATTTTAACTTTGCATTTAAGGCTTTCTTATTCTTAAAATTCAGATGAAAGAAATTCTTGATAAATTTTTCTTCTAATACTGAATTGGTCAAGATTCTTATCATGTCCTAAGATAGATCCAGATCTGCTTTTATTTTTCAAAATTACTGGAGGAAGAAATGAACTGTCACTGAGAAAACAGTTTAGAGAATTATAAGGAATTTAATGTATCCTAAATTAAGATACCTTGTTTTTATATTTGGGACACTGAGGAAGAGAACTGATCATTAGAGTTTATTTATTCATGGATTAAATAATATTTAATTTATTTTTAATACTTGGGTCTCACACTCCAACACTGTTTTTACTGCCCAAACATTTCCACAGACACTTTAAGCTAGAAAATATTTGGTTGTTTAAAAAGGAAAACAAACAAATGTAAAACCATAAACTTTAAAACTTTTGTAATATAAAATGGAAGTTCATTGGATGATATTTTATGACTTTATAAATTTTGTACTGTTTCTAGGTTTTAAACTTAGGGCCTGTGCTCTCACTTGGTTTGTTTATATCTGGTACTCCAGCTGGCTTTGAACTATGATCCTCAGATCTCAGCTTTTCAGTAGCTGGGATTATGGGCAAGACCACCAGCATTTTTGCAGGTTTTTTTTTTTTTTTTTACAAAAAATCTTCCATATAGTTTTCATCTGAACTGATAATGACATCTGAAGATATGTAGAGAAAAATCAATTACAAAGCAAACGTATTGTAGTTTTCTTCTGTCCCTTTTTGCATAATAGAAAAATGTTCTATAGGATGTTATAGGATGTAAAAACTGTGTGGAGGAGCAAAATAAGCACAGGAGGAAGAAAAGGAAGAGGAGGAGGATAAGGGGGAGGAGGAGGAAAAAGAAAGAGAAAAAGAAAGAAAGAAAGAAAAAAAAGAAAGAGAAAGAAAAAGGAGAGAAAGAATGTCACCATCAAATAATGTGGAACCTACAAAATTGTAACATTCAAAATCATTTTTCTAATTATTTTATTTTTTCTTAAAAATAAAAAATTTCAGGACTAAAAGTTTCCAAATTACACATTTAAATCACATAAGTACCAGTGTTTCAAAATGACCAGAATTATTGCTTAAAATTTAGTTAATATTTATGACCAATCAATTTGAAGTTTTGTAGCCATTAAGAGTCAACTTTGATCTCCTAATAATAATAGCATGGATTTTAATATGTACCGATTTGGTTTGTTTCAAGCACAGCATTTAGATTATTTGCTTATGTTTTTAGGTTTCTGCAAAAACATATTGGCAAGAAAACTTTTAAGGAGACTGTTAATCTGAGAATTCTGAAAGGTACCGGTGCAATTGGCAAGATGATCTTTAGTACCTGATGTTTCCTGTTTTCTGTTTTAATTAGAATGAGAAAGGTTTCAAAAAGTTGAAAATATGCTAATGAATCTAGTGCAGGTATCAAATGTCACAGATGGTAGGTGGTCACAAATTTCAAGAAATTATGTTACGAGAGTACATTACAGAAAGATGTCAGGTGCTGTCTTGAGTTTATTTTTCATGAGACAGAGAAGAGATTTTGTGGAAATGAGACAGAGAAAATACTAGACCTTAAGTACTACAAAGTAAAGTTAGAGATGTAGGGAAAAACAGAAATTTCTCAAAATTCTCTCAGTGTTAACCAACCCTTTGAAAGTTTGGGATACAGCATCCAAGAGAAAGTCAACTTTACCAGGAAAGGTTTTGGCCCCTAACTCGTAGGACCTCTCCCTGTTCATAAACACCATTACAGGAGTAGTCTCTGCAACCACAGGAATATTAACATTCTGCTAAGCATGCTCAGACCCTGCCTTTCTCTTTTCCCTCTACATCTTGGGACACAGCTTGACAACTCCTTCAGACGAATGCTTTAGGGAATGGTGTGTGTCCAAGAACAGTTTAAGGAAATTAAAAAAAAATCTAACCACAGTCTTTTAAAAGATGCAATAACAACTCTCAATTTTTATATGAAGACAACCATCTGCCCTATTCAATAGATAAGAACATAAAAAAGATTAAGATAATTAGGCGGTTGATTTATTAAATAAATATAGTCTCTAGATGTAGAAGTTTCTGATATATACTCTATGATAATGTAATAAAACTAAAATTATTCACAAAATATCATTAACTCTCATAAACAATTGTAATTTAAAAGAGTATCTCTTCCTGTAAGAGGTCAGAGGTGACCTGTAAAAGAGTACTCCAAATAATTCCTGAGCCAAAAATTTCAATTCCCTAATCATTCACTGAGCAATTATTAGAAGCA